CGCCGTCGCGGCGCCGCCGCTGGGCGGCGGCAGCGGTGTCGGCGCGGTATCGGGCACCGCTGCGCCGCCGGGCCAACGCGTCGTACAGGCATTTGGCATGTCACGATCCATGGATCCAGCCGTACAGTACGTCATTCATGAGGATCCGCTGGTCAGCTCTTCTGAGCAGCTGCCCTCCCCCACCTCCCGGGGTTCGGAGGCGGCTGGCCCAGAGGCCACGACAGGAACAGACAGCGGCACCGCCGGAGTAGGCACCGGCAAGGCAGACGCTGGCGGCGCCGTGGGGCCGGTGGAGGCAGCGGCATCGGCGGAGGCGACGGGTGGGTACGGCACCAGCGGCGGCAGTGACGAGGAGGAGCGGCACCGTCAGATGCAGCACTTTGTGGAGGCTACCGGTGGGGGCCGGGGAGGGGGGTAGATCCAGGGTTTTAGGGTTTTAGCTCGAGGGGAAATGGGACTGGGGGTTTGAGGATTTGAATCTGAAAGCTGTCGTAGTTGCCGTGTGGGGCTCCTGGTTGGCCCCTTGGTTTGCCGCGCTATCCAATCCCGGCGCAGCCCGCCGTGTTTCTTTCCCTCCATGGGAACCTGTCTCCTGAAGGAAGACGTTTCCTGATCTGGCATGCTATCATACCTTTTGGGCTACTTAGCAACGTGGGTGGGTAACGCCTCCGACCCGTCCCCGTCACGTCTTGAACTATCCATCCATCTGTCTATCTGTCTATCTAGTACCTGATCCGCCCCAGTGATTTTTTGTGATCCTCTTGTGCTGCCTAACCAGGCATGGACTCACTAGATTTCATTCATGATCTGAATGTCCGCGTGGATTCGGCCGCCGCCGCCGCCGTACTGCGAGGCCGCAACGGCGGCGGTGGCGCCCCCGCCACGGCTGCAAGTGACGTTGGTGGCGTTGGTGTTGATGTTGGCGGGGGCGGCGCTGGTGACGGTGACGGCAGCGAGAGTGCTGTGTGGGAGGCCGCAAGCCAGGAGGACCTGGCGGCGGCAGCGGCGGCGGAGGGACCTGGCGGCGCCGCCACGCGTGCCTTCGTGAAGAGGTTCGAATCGAGGCGGCAGGTGCCGCCGACGCCGCCGCCGTCACCGTCCTCGTCGGGTCTCGACACAGTTGAAGCGGATGAGGCGGCGGCGGCGGCGCCGCCACCTCCGCCGCCAGCAAGCGCGCTGGAGGCCGTCCTACGCGCTACTGCGGGGTCAGCGCAGGGAGTAGCGCCAACTGATGCCGATGGCGGGAAAGGTGCCGAAGGCGGCGGCGGCGGCGACGTTGCGGCGGCGGCGGCGGTTGTGACGGCTGAGCGGCTGGCGGAGGGCCTGGAGGAGGCGCTTCCTGGTCGTACGGGAGTACGGGAAAGCTTGCATAAGGATGTACAGCTGCTGGAAGTAAGAAGTCGTTTATGCGGCTGAGTCGGGCTGGGGGGGGAGTGTTTGGTGGTGTAGGTGGGTGGATGAGGCCGTCAGCTCCTCGGCCTTATGTTCCTCCATCGAGATTTTTCCAGCAACACGAAGGGCACCGATATCGGGGGAGGGGGGCTGCGTAACGGCGCTTCTTAATCTAACCGTAAGATGGAGTTACTGTGTTCCTGTACCCGTCTTGTCATGGTGTTATTGCCCTGGTACGATACAGCCGCCTTCTTCATAACGACTATAACGACAGTTGGTTGGCGGTTGACATTCATCGTCCAATAGGCCGCATTGATCAGGAGAAACGTTTCCCGGAAGGAATGAAAATAACGGAATAGGAAAGGTGTTGTGAAAATGCTATTATTAAAAATGCAAACGACGATGTGTCCACGCAACAGCGGCACACCACCTCCCCCCCTCCCCCCCTCC